AAAAAAAAAAAAAAAAAAAAAAAAAAAAAAAGAAAGAACACTTTTGGAGAGGATCCAACCAGATTGTAGCTCACTACCAATGAGACTCAGATATACAAGAGTCAGAGTTCCAGTCTCAAATGGAAACAGTTACCATTTATAGCTCACTCCTACAAAAATTCACACTGCCCTGCCTGCCTTGCCATGAAGAGTCTGACCAGTTCGTCCAGCTTTGCCCACCCCATCCCTCCACAGAGACCCAGAATTGGCTGTGCCCAAACATCTGCAATCAGCAAAATCTGGGGTAAAGAGTAGGGAATCAGATGGGTGGGAGGAGACTCAAGACTAGAGCAGAGACTTTTCCCAAATGGGGAGTGAATCTTGGGGTCTATATTTTTAGATTCTGTGGGACACGGGTTAGCTGTGAGCTATGACTCAGGATGCCCCAGGAGGCTGTGAAATCGCTGTCTTTGCAGGAGTTCAAGGTGACAGTTCTGCACACTGCGTGTTCACCTCCCTGTGTACTTACTCGGGCACCTCTCCAAAGCCAGGCACGGCCCGGGCTTCAGCTGCAAAGATTTTGCAGTACTCCCGACTCATGTTCTGGATCTTGCACCCCTGTGGGTTAGAGGAGCCAAATCTGATCAGTGAAGAGGCTCCCAGCTCCCTGTTGACCTAGCTCTAAGTGGGTGGGCTGCTGGTTAGAGGCCTGCAAGGGGGATCCCAGCCCTGGGGGGGGGGCGGGGCGGGGCTCCCTCCTTCCTCTTTACTACTTCATACTTCATTTTTCTCTTTTCTATAACAAGGGGCTTTGGATGTCATCTCAAACCAAGGTTTTCAAAGTCATTTCTGCCCTGTGTTTCCTGGATCCCTAACGCTAGGCTCTTCTGTGGAGATCAGGGAAGACTACCCACCCCACCCACATCATTCCCACATATAAGTAAGGCTTCCATGTTTGAGGAAGGGGGAAAGATTTCTGCTGCAAAAATACAGTTTGGAAACTATGACCCAAAGGCTTTGGAAACTCTCAGGTCCTCTGAGGCCGAGTATCTAAGGCTCTCCCCAAGGTCCATCCTAGGAGCCTCATAAGGTTGAGACTGAGATGGCTTCTGCTTCTGTACTGGGCTTCACAACAGGACCCAGGCTGGGAAAGGGGAGCAGGTGAGACAGTAAAGGGATGGTACACGAGGTTGGGAAAACAGTACCTGGATGGTGACATCGTAGTTTCTGCCCAGGAGAGAAGTCTCACTGCTGGGCCCAAAAACAAGCAGGCTGGACACCTTGATGACGCACGTGCGGCCCGACTCAAAGATGGGTTCTAGTCCGTAGATGACCTTGGCCTGGGAGGCCTTCCGAAGGCCACACCCATGTCTACCCCCTCGGAGCTCCTCGCTTACCAGTCGCCCAAAGAGCTTGTCCCCCCAGCAGCCAGAGTCAGCCAGACCCTTAGCAAACACCATGGGGGTCATCTCGATCTCTTCTCCAACTGGAGGGGAACAGGAGACATGTGGAAACCTAGACACTCCTACTGACCAATGTGGGGGTCTATGGGAAAGGAAAGGGCCACCCTGCCAGCCTGCTGTGCTCACTTGCTGTCCATGGCTGCTTTTTGGGTGTACACTGGGAGGCCCCCACCAGGCTGGGAGTTCCTCAGGGCAGACACCGTATTCGATTCAGCCCCTGTCATCTAACAGTACTCATGTGCCTGTCATACAGTAAGTGCTCAGCAAATGTCTGTGGCAGGCAGGGGTTTTCTGTGGCCATAGCAATCAATACGGAATACCGGAATTACTGTGTTTTAGAAGTAGGTGTTTTGATCAAATGAATAAATGACTTCATCTCCACCAACATTTTTGGCTGAAAAAGTCTGCAGGACCAGTCCATTAGCAGTGAGCACTGCTAGTGCTCAAATTGTGATGGTCAAATATCATTTCTCACTAAAGGGAAACAGAGGTCCCTATAGAAACGCTTGATTCTAGGTTTAGGCAGAAAGTGTACAGTATGGGCCGGAAACTCTTGTAGGACCAAAAAGCAAGGAAGCTATCAAAGGGGGTTCCTTTTGGCCAAAAAATGAAACAATCTTAGCAACAAAAAATAATTACTGCAATGTATTGAACATATTATATTTGTTAAAAATCCATGTATTCATGACGGTAACTGGAAAAAATATTTCCCTTCAAAAAGCAAACCTCATTGGTCACCTTTGGAGGATGCTAGAACTCATTATTCTGAAATCTGGCAAGTAAAGAGAAAAGAGCAAGTATTTATCCCTCATTTTCTGTTGGACCTATATGTATCAGGGTAACCAAATAATCACTTCTTCTTCTTTAATTATAGAATTAAAATATCTCTATGTGCAGCTCCTAGGGAAATAATGGATTTGGACAATAATCAATGATAAACCCACTAGACAACAATGGGGTTGTTTCAGGTTTGTTTGTTTGTTTTTAACTTTAAAAAGGGATGGATCACACAGATACCACCTGAATGAACCCAATGACCAATCTTAATGTTACTAAAAGTGAAACTATCAGACATGATGTGCCTCTGGATAGGATGCAAAAGGATATATACACAGCACATTGGGGAATTATTCGTGCCAAAAAAAAAAAAAAGACACATGAGTCTGACTATACCTCTCAATCTGATTACTAACTCAGAAGAAGCACATGTATGGAAGAACATGTTAAATGAGGACAAGACCCAGAATGTAAGAAATTCTACACATCAAGTGACTTCAACAAATAAATGGATATGAGAGAAAACAAATGAAGTAAGAGGAACGGTTATATATTCAGAAAGACTCGGGAGATGTATCAGCCAGAAGCAATGTGTGGTTTCTGATTCCAATAAACCAGCACATATGGGACAGCTAGGAGGCAAAGGGGACCAGATTCCAAGCCCTTAAGGAAGGTGCCTCTGTGGACGGCAAGAACAGGGATGAAGACCCACCTCTCCTCCCCAGGGGCACTGTACCTTCACCTTCTTCTCTGGAGATGAATCCTGACAACACTAGGTGGGGAAAAAGAAAAGAAAGCAGCTGCCTTCAGGCTGGTCTGCCCAGAGACAGTGACTTCTCTGCCCACCCCTCAAGAGCCAGGCCAGGTAGAAACCCAGGCAGCAGGGTACACTCACCCTCGGGGCTGAGGCAGAAGTCAGTGGAGGCCGAGCCGTGCTCGTTGTGGATGGTACATCGATACACGCCGCAGTCTACAGGGGATGCCTGCACGATGGCCAAGGCCGCTGGCCCCTCATCCCCTGCGCTGCAGAGTGGAGACCCTTCAGACCCCACTCTCAGAGGCTGCTGTGAACTCAGGCTCTGAGAGCTCTGGGGAGGTGGCGGGATTCCACAGTCAAGAGCTTATCCTGGGATCACACAGGTGTGGTTTACAGTCCCAACACTAACTAGCTGTGTGACTTTGGGCAAGAGGCTTCAAGAACCCCTGAACCTCAATTTTCTCATCTCTACTGTGGGAATAATAGAATCTCCCTCATAGGATTATCGTGTGGATTAATGAAATGACAGATTCAAAGTGCTAGGACAATGCCCAATGTTATTGTAATCAGGGATCCAGGTCAGGTGCTGGTGCCCAGTAGGCTTACCTCCTGCCCACCTCGCCCACTGGGCGCTGATCCTTGGCCCACGTCAAGACTGAGTCACTAAGAATGTTGAAAAACTGGCACCAGAGCTTCAGGCTACCCGAGGCATCGGGAAACTGCTCCACTCGAATCTTCCGGATCACCTGTGGGGCTGAGAGGAGGGCCCAGATAAGAGAGGGGAAACCACTTCCCCTCCATTTTGTGCCCTCTCTGGCCATACCCCTGCATACCTGGGTGTCCTTGGTGGGAGAGGCTGAGAGAAAACAGACTCAAGTCTCTACACAAAGCCACCACTACATAGCCCCAAGCTGCCTCACACCTGCTGCTCAGGCTTATGCCCTGACACACCCATCCCCATCCCGCACCCCCCCAGCAAGGCATACCTCTCAGCTAGAAAGAAACCAGTACTCCATCCTGGCCCCAGGCTAGGAGGACCCACAGCTGAGGACACAGACAGCAGGTAAGAGAAGAACTGCAGTTTGCACTGTAGACCCCTAACTCTAGAAACCTGCATGTGAGTACTGTCTCCACCACTCTGTAACTGGGACAGGTCTGTAAAGAGGGGATTATGGTGATGATGACGACTGAGCTGGGATGCTATGGAAGCCAGGCCTTGTGCTAAGCACTCGATTTGGTCCATTCCATTTACCCCTCACAATGTTGCAAAGGAGGTACTGTTATCCCCATTTTATGGTGTGGTAGAGCCAAGACAAGAACTAGGCCCCCCAGATTCCAAAGCCTATAAAATAAGAAGACCTTTACAAAGGGCCTGTGAAGGGTCATTGCCTTGCTAGACTCTGGTGTGGCCATGTGCTCTTTGAGCTATGGCTGTCGTCATGCTTCCTGGCTTTGGTCCCCTCCCCCACCTTGGGGAGGTGAATCTTCTCTCTTCCTTCTCCTTTTCTCTCTAATTTACTTTTAAATAAACTTTTCTTTCTTTGAAAAAAAACAACCACCAAAAAAACGAAGGGCCTGTGGAAACCCCCAGCAGGGATGTGTCATCCTGTAGGGTGGTGCTGTCAGCAGCAGCAGCAGCAAGGGCCCTCTACAGCATCTTGCCAGCCCTCCCCTGTGAAACCACATTCATCCCTCCCCATTGCTCACCTTTTAGTAGGTCTTTGGCATTCTTGGGCTTGGCTGGAGTTTCCTGTTTGCCTTCATCCAGGGCCAGCTCTGTGTCCAGACCACTGGTCTTGGGGCTGGAGCCCAGGTCTCCTGCTACCAGCTCCTCCTCTGCTCGTGGCACCTCCAGCATGCCCGCCTTTCTGCCCTGCGTAGGGGAGCGTCTCTCCCTCCCTGGAGTCCCAGGGGACCCAGGCACCAGGCTTTTCCTGGAGCCCCGGGGGGAAACTGTGGGGCTCTCCTTTTCTTCAGGCTTGGTCATCTCTCCATCTCCTGCTGCCCTGACCTTAGGGAGAAATCTCTTCCTCCGGGCCCCTAGAGCTAATTCCTCGGGTGTAGCTGCAGGGAGACCTGTGGGAGCCTCCCCTGGTATCTCTTCTTCCTGGGAGGGTTCCTGGGCTCTGCTCTCTGCTGAGAGTGGTTCCCGCCCAAGGGCTGCCTGCTCACCCACCTCCCCCAGCCACCCACTCATGCTGCTCTCCTGGGAGGCCCTCAGGAGGCCAGGCCCCTCAAGAGAAACCTCTCCCTCACCGTCACTGGATCTTTCTGAGGTCAGCCCAGGGCCCTCCTCACCTACCACAATGGTGGGGACAGTGAGAGGACTGGAGCCAGGGCCCCAGGAGCCCCGGGTGGCAGCCAGGGCCTGGCGGCCAGCCTTCACCTCACGGTCCAGGAGGCCAGTGAGGCGGCGGGAGGTGCAGGGGCTCAGCAACAGGCTCTGTGCGCTCTGCACCAGATGGTTGTTCTCCACACGCTCCAGGATGCGCCTCGATGTCCGTGGACTCAGGCCAGCCACTTCCACAGTGGGAGCCAGAGTGGATGAGGGTGCCAGACCTCCGGGGGCAGCCCCCACTTGGGACTCGACTCCTGCTCCACTGGTGTCCGTGCTGGATAGCTTTAGCAGCAGAAGCAAGTAGTTCTTCAGGGAATCTATGAGGCCAGGGTCACAGCTCCGGGGACCTGGGGTCCTCCCCTCCACGTCTGGTACCTTGGCACAGGCTCCCTCACTGCCAGTGGCCATGGTTTCTGGTGGGTGACTCTGGGTGGGGGTCCCTGACCCCAGGTGCAGTGTGGGGGCAGAACTCAGCAAGGTCTGGTCCTCAGAGGGCAGGAAGGCAGCTGGGCCCACAGGTTGAGAAGTAGAGGTACAGAGCAGCCCCTCCTTTGGGCTATTGGTCAGGCCAGTCCCAGAAAGAGACGGCATAGTGGGCACCTCCTGGCTCAGGCCAGCTGGCAGATAGCCACCCCGGTCCACACTCAGCACTTCCCCTGGTTGCTCCCCCTTGGGGCACTGGAGCAGGCTGTCCTCCTGCTCGGTCTGGGCTGGGCCTGACGGCTTTGGCCCTTGACTGCTCTCTCCTCCCACCTGCTCCAAGCTCCCCTTGGGAAGCAGCTGCCCTGGGAGCATGAGGCTCCCCGACAGGGGACCCAGCACAGTCTCCTCATGGTTCCTGGAGTCTGCTACTGCTGCCTCCTCAGATCTGAGCACGAAGCCAGATTTTTCTGGGACACAAGACACTTCTGGGATCTGTGCAAAACATTCAATAATCGGAGAAGACCTAAGACCCTCTGAAGGTGGGAGTTTGGGGGCTCTGGATGGTAGGCTGAGGCTGGCCGCAGACTCCTGCTTCGACTGGCTTTTCATGGCTGTGGGTACGCTCCCAGGTGCCTGTGTCCTCTTACCGTCCTGTATGCTTCTGTCTTCCTGTGCCTTCCTGTCTCCCTGTATCTTCTCATCCGCCTGTGTCCTTCCTACCCATTTCTCTGCCCTTCCCTGTGTCCGCACGTCCTTCTGGGAACTCCTGTCTGACTGCGGCCTCTCACTTTCTTGTGTTCCAACCTCTCTCTGTGTCTCCCCACCTGCCTGTGTCCTCTGGGCTGTTTGTGTTCTGTCTCCCCGGGTCCCTCCATCCATCTGCATCTTCCCCTCTGCCTTCGTACTCGTCTTTCCTCTAGTTCTCTGGTCAGCAACTGTTCTCCCATCCTCCTGGGTTTCCATATCCATGGGTTCCACGGTGCCTGGACTTCTGGGGGCACTACGACCAATGGAGGTTACATTAGAACTGCTGCTGGCCGGCATGGAAGGAGCCATGGTTGCCTGGGACTCTGGTACCTGAGAACACATGGACACAAGCAAGGATGGAACTGCATGTGCGTTAGGAGTTCTTTCTGATCTGGCATCCCAGCCTCCTGTAGTCTCATCCAGAACTGCTCTGATGGGAATCCTGCCGCCTGGTTTCTCAGGCTGCTGGGGGTTGGGAGGTAAAGACATGACAAAATCCCGAAGCCTTGTGCCCACCCACCCTAATCTCTGATCCCAGAATCTGGACTAGGCACATCCTGACCCAGCTCTGGCCCTTCCCACCTCTTCCTGAGGAAATCCTGCCTTTCCTGAAAGATCCTGCTCAAGGTTTACACTGCCCTTACCCCTGCCGTTTGGAGGAGAGAGTCCTCTCCTCAAGCAGTCAATCTGTCCTTCTCTTGTAGCATTGTCCTGGATGGAATTATGGGTGAAGTGGGAGAGTGTCAAAGGGTTTTCTGATAAAGGTTTCAATGACAGCAACCACCAGTAACACTGAGTGAGTGGTGATAACATGATGCCATCCAGAGAGGGTTAAAGTGATTATGAAAGGCACTCATGCCAAAAATTCCATGAAATGCTGTAATGTTACCCTTTGAACATCCATTTATAAAACACTACGCTAGGTCTCTATACACTTTCTCCTCACAAAAAGTGAAATATCCTAGAGATAGGAACAATGATAAGAAGGGCTATGATTTGTCCAATATCAGGCAGTACACAAGTGGCAGAGTCTAGATTCAAAGCCAGGTATATCTGGCTCCAGATCCCATGTTCTGTGTGGTTATACTGTATTTTCACCCATTTAAATGTAATCAAAGGACAGTAATTTGCTTCTTTTCCTCCTGGATATCATCAAAACCAACAAAGTAAACAAAAAATGAGCAAAACAAACTCCTTTGTGCAGTCAAATAAAACATACAGTCTCAAAAAATAAATAAGCACAAGGATAAGGGCTGCCAAAGGCAGACACTGGGAAACTGAGGAGGAACAAAAGCCACAGGGGCGGGGGATAAATAGTGAAACAGCTCAGCAGGTGAACAGTGAAACTGTCCACCAGGCCTCGAAATATGCCAGCAAAAACACAGTTACTGTAGATAAAGGATTCATGCTGAGGTGATAAATTCAGAAACCCCACACCGCAAGAGCTGCAGGGTCGTGGAGGATGGGGTGGAGATAAAGCAGAAGGCACAGGGGAGAGGACCAGCGAGACAGGAAGAGGAGCGTGGAATAGACTGGTGGTGGTAAACCACGGAAAACACCCGCAAAACTATGCCTTGAAAATCGCTAAGCTAAGAAAATTGGTTCTGAACATACAAGTACTTAAGGAATGTTGTTCCCATGAGCTCTACTTGAGGAGAAACTACCAGAGAACAAACTTCAGTCAAGCAAAAGATGATTGAGGAAACCACAGCAAAAGAATGGGTGGTAAGCACTAAATATATTTTACCTATATTAACATATAACTGTAGAAACAAGACTAAAGCCAAATGGGGTTTAGAATGGCAACTCAGAATGTCAGTGCTATATGCCCTGATGATATAGAAACAATGTAGCTAGCACAAAGGTGGAAGGAAAAGAAAATGACAAGGGAGTGAATTCCTTGTTTACCTTCTGAGAATGAAAGCTATCACTCAAAGCTGAAAAACCAAGAAATACAGGATATTTAACTACACAAAGATAGTAACATAGAAATAAAGCTTTAGGGCTGGACACAGTGGCTCACATCTGTAATCCCAGCACTTTGGGAGGTCAACGCAGGAGAATTGCTGGAGTCCAGGAGTTTAAGACCGGCCTGGGCAACATAGTGAGACCTCATCTCTACAAAAAATAAAAACATTAGCCAGGCATGGTGGTGCACACCTGTAGTCCCAGCTACTTGGGAGGCTGAGGTGGAAGGATTGCTGCTTGAGCCCAGGAACTTGAGCTGCAGTTAGCTATGATCATGCCACTGCACTCCAACCTGGGAGACAGAGTGAGACTTCAACTAAAAAAAACCCACAAAAAAAAAAAACTTTAGGCAAATATGAGACAGAAGATGAATGGGAAAAAGATGGGGAGGAAGTGAAAACAGTTTATCATTGCTCATCATAAAAAATCCTCCCGCATCAGCTTCTCAAGCAGCTAGATTACAGATTAACTGAAGAATTTTAATAAAAATGTTATTCCATGTGGAGAGCGATGACTCAAACCTATAATCCCTGCACTTTGGGAGGCTGAGGAGAGGGGATTGCCTGAGCCCACAGGTTCAAGACCAGCCTGGGCAACTTGGTGAGAACTTATCTCTACAATAAACCAAAATATTAGCCAGATCTGCCGGGCTCGGTGGCTCAGCCTGTAATCCCGTGCTTTGGGAGGCTGAGGTGAGTGGATTGCCTGAGCCTGCGGGTTCGAGACCTGCCTGGGCAACTTGGCGAGTCCTTATCTCTGCAATAAATAAAAAAATTAGCCAGATGTGGTAGTGCACGCCTGTAGTTCCAGCTACATGGAAGGTTGAGGCGGAAGGATCACCTGAACCCAGCAGGTCAACACTGGAGTGGCTGTGAGCATGCCACCGCACTCCAGCCTGGCGCCTGGCGACAGAGTGAAACTCCAACTCAAAAAAAAAAATGTTATTCCAACTTCTTTGACAACCAGATATTAACAGACAAAAATGCCTTAGAGCCAACAAACAGCAATTAGTAATATATTAGAAACTTCTTTTAACTTCTGATATCCTAGGATTAGAAAATATTATATAGATATAAGATCTATAAATTTACAAAGAAAGTGCTGACTTTGCACACAAGCCTGTTGCTGTTCACAAGACTCATGAATACAGAACTTTTTTTTTTTTTTTGAGTTAGAGTCTCACTCTGTTGAAGTACAGTGGCATACTCCTGGCCACCGCAGCCTTGACCTGCTGGGCTCAGGTAATCCTTCTGCCTCAGCCTTTCAAGTAGCTGGAACTGCAGGCACGTGCTACCATGCCTAGCTAATTTTTTGATTTATTGTGGAGGGAGGTCTCACCATGTTACTCAGGCTGGACACGAACCGACAAGTTCAGGCAATCCTCTCACCTCAGCCTCCCAAAGTGCTGGGATTATAGGCTTAAACCACCGCTCCCGGCCGGAACTTCTTGATTAAAGCAACTCTCGTTCCCCCAGCCGAATCAATTTCTCATTCCTATTAAACCTACTTTCTCATTACCTCAAGATCCGTTTCATTTTTTTCTCCACTGCCAAATACCTAATCCAAGCCGCCAACAATTCTATCTTGCCTGGACTCCAGGAAAGCCTCCTAATTGGTATCCATGACTCTAGTCTTTGCCTCTGCTCAACTCTTATCCTCACTGCAGCCCAAGTGATCTCTCTGAAATACAAATCTGATTGTAACACTTCCCTGCTTAAAAACCTCTCAATGGCTTACCATTACTTACAAGATAAAGCCTAAAAGCCATAGCCTCAAAGAGCAACAAGTTCAATAAGATAGTAGTCTTTATTCATGGTTTTGCTTTCCATGGTTTCAGTTAACGGTGGTCAACTTCAGTCTGAAAACATTAAATGGAAAATTCCGGAAATGCACTACCGATACATTTTAAACTTTGTGCTGTTCTGAGCAGCATGTTGAAACCTCATGCCATCCCACATGAAACATGAATCATTCCCTTGTCCAGTGTATGCACACTGTTCACACTACTTGCCCCTTATCCACAGTAGCCACTTCGGTTATCAGGTCAGCTGTCATGGTATTGCAGTACTTGTGTTCAAGTAACCCTATTTTACTTCATAACACCCCAAAGTGCAAGAGTAGTGATGCTGGCATATTATTACAATTGTTCTAATTTATTATTAGTCATTGTTTTTCATCTCTTGCTGTGCCTAATTTACAAGTTAAACTTTATCACAGGTATGCATGTACAAGAAAAAACACAGTATATCTAGGGTTTAGTATTATTTGCAGCTTCAGGCATCCACTGGGGGTCTGGGAAAGAATCCCTTGCAGATAAGGGGGGGACCGATGTACTGTGTGGGCCGGGGCAACACGCATCGACACAGCCTCTATAGACAGCAATTTCACATTATCTATTAAAACTGAAAATACTTCTACTCTTTGACCCAACAATTCCATTACTAGGAATTTTATCCTACAAGAAGGAATACTTTCATGTGCAGATGGACTTATATGAAAGAATATTCATTGCAACATAATGTATAATAGTGAAATACTAGAAACGACCTAAATTCCACCTATACAAGACTGATCCAATCAATTATGGCACAACCATATTCCAAATAAATAAAATAAGTATCCAAATAAAAAAGCAAGGTGAAGACAGAAGGCATAAAATGCAGACTTGTGTGAAAAACATAAAGGCACACACACATGTTTGTAACTGTAAAAAAAATAGCTCTGGAGGGATGCCCAAGAAATCAGCTTTAGCAACTGACTTCAGAAAGAGGAATTGAATGATGGGGGGAAGGAAGAAGAGAATCTTAGTCTTCTCTATATACTTTCTGTGCTTTTTGAATTTTACACCATGTGCATGTGACACATATTCAACAAAAATACAATTAAGAATGAAAATAAATAGAGGAAATATGAGAGGGGGCCCAAAAAAAACAGAAGTATTTTTTTGAGGGCAGGCCCCTTGTGGTATGGGCTTCCCCCACTATGTAAGTGTTCTAGGATCCCATTGGCATCAGTGTACCAGCTAGCATTTTTGTGAGAGGCTGTGTTCATCTTCAGTGAATTTTTTTCTGGAGATTCTTTCAATGCATTTGCCCAGTTCATGATGGGACTTACACAACCAGCCGGTCCACACTGCGCTGAATGTTCAGCAGTTTTTGACCCAAAACGGCATTACCCCCATGCCCTACCCTCCCTATTCACCTGATCTTGCCCTGAACAACTTGCTAAATAAAAAAAGTCCTCAAAGGGAAACGTTTTGCTGATGTGGAAGAGGTGAAACAAAAAACAGCAGAAGCACTAAGAGGCATCAAAACTGACAAGTTCAAATCTGTTTCGAGCAGTGGAAAAAGCATCTTGATAGG